AAATCAATAAAAAATATTAGCCTCCACTACTAACCCTCCGACTCCTTAAATTACATTCCAAAGAATCTTATTCCCACCACATCATTACATCCAATACTAATTAAGCCCCCCAACCCCCATCATCTATTCATATGAAATCTGCCCCCAACCCAACCCAAGCCCTCCCCTAGTCTAGAGACTCTGATTTCCTACTTCTCAAGTGCTTATGCAAAACAACTGCTTCTCCAATCACCGCCTCATTCACCCAAAAGATCCAACTTTTATTCTGTCGTTACTGTGAAAGGTCAACCCTAGCCAACCAGAAGGTGACACAAGTCTAGGTCATTGGATGGTGGATATTATGCTAGGAATTATGTCCATATATATAATCACGGTAACGGGTAAGGGATTGGCACTTGACATTTGGCAACAAGGCAAAGGAGGCCAGGTCCGTGTAATCATAATGGACTTTTGAATTGATGGTTTTTAATTTGTGAAAGATGAAAGCCAAACCAACAGAGAGACACGTGTCCGTCGCTACTTCTTTCCATTTCCCCTTTAATCAACTTTAATATTCATGCTTTTTCCTGGAAAATGTTGGGAAGATAGATTCTCTACCTCTTGTTTGGGTGTCCTTTTTATCTTTATTTATTTAAACCACGTTAATATTTTATATTGATTTTTTTTATAAAGATAATAAGACAAAAAATAATATGAATATAACAGGTTGACATAACTTAACCATAACCGCACAAATAAAAATAGATGGGAAGGGTACCCAAACAATCCAAATGTTGGCTCCTTCATGTTCGTACGTACGAGCTACATTATTTTCTCATTCAACTAAGCAAGTTTATCAACGGTTGTTGGTTATTTTAGTTTTCTTTACTGATTTACTAGTTCACAGAGAAAGTTAGGGTCCATCCAGTAACGTTTTATAAAATAAATTTAAACTGTTTAGTAAAACAAAAATGATATCGGAATTTTCGCACTTTTATGATTTGAATAAAAGTCTTGTATTTTAATTCAAGAATAATTTTTTAGAATGAAGACATTGAAAATGCAGATAGTACCAAATATTAAAAAATAATATAAATTTGTGTTTGGAAGCAATTGGTGATGAGGTAGGGATGGTGATTGAGACGAGTGGTGTTGGTAGTAATAGTGGTTGAAGTGGTGATAATAGTGGTGACAATAGAGGTGTTAGTAGTGATGAGATATGAGTAGTTGAAATAGCAAGATAGAGGCAATTGGTGAAGAAGTGGTGGTGGTGGTGGTGGTGGTAGTAGCAACAATTGTTGCAATGGTGCCATATGATGGTTGTGAAAATGGTGGTTGAGTGATAGGGATGACGGTGGTGAATATGGTGGAGGTGGTAGTGTCCATGATGACGGTAACGAGGTGGAGAATGTGGTGATGGGGGTGCTGGCAATGGTGGTAGCCATAATAATGAGATGGTTGAGGTGGTGATGGCCAAGGTGACTATGGTGGAAGTCCAGGTGGTGGTAGTGTGGGTTGTGGCAATGATGATATGTTAGAGATGGTGGTTGTGGTGGTGAGGGTGATGGTGCAAGGCGATGGTGATAATGGTGAAACAGTGGATAATTTGGTGATCGTGGTGGTGGCAATGGTGAAGATGGTGATGGTAAATATGATTTTATTTGATGTATTATTTGATAATTTTTTCTTGATAAACAAAGGAAATATCAATTTGATGTTCCACAGAACTTAGGCTAAATATTATTTTCTGCGGCTTTTGTTTTCTAAGTTTATTTTCACAAAAATAATATGTCGGGTACATTTTTCACCCGTTTTTATATCTACAAAACAAAAAATTTGCAAACTTTAATGAACAAACCCTTACTTACACCGATATATACACAAAATACTAGTATATTAATAAAGTTATAATACAAATAATATTGTGTTATTGATTTAAAATACCATAAAAGCATACATATCGTATTATTGATTTGATTTTTTTTCTTGAGATAACTCATCTCTTGTAGGGAAGAAACCTTTTTTTTTTTTTTTTGTTTTGGTCACATGTAGGGGAGAAACTTAAGTACAACTCGGTTAAAGTTTCTCGTGATTAGCTCTCCCTCCTCACGTCTGTCCCTCTTCTAACCTAACACATCTCGTGAGCAAACAAATAACCTCAAAATACACACCATGTTGCAACCAAAAATTTTGCGGTTTATGTAATTAATTCTCATTCTTGGGTCATTTAGTTATGTTATATTAGAAACCATCCAAGCGGGTCCCACGGGAAGCTATCGTCCGGACATTGAGGCCACCCGTCGTTGTACCGTCCGAGGAAGAGAAAGCCAAAAGTAATGGTCTAATCTAAACTAGATCTGAGTTCGTGAACTCCAAGCCAGCGATTGCATGGATCGTGCGATCATAGAAGAAACACGTTGAGTGTTTCGGCCACACGCCTGTGCTATTTTTCTGTTTTTCAATTAAAAACTTAGAAAGGATGCTCTTCGAATCTCTTCTATTAATCAATTCGGATTTTTAAAATTTAATTCAATAATTATAAACAATATGTTTCTTTAAAAGATATAATAATTTTAGTCGATGAATCAAATTTTAAAGATTCTGATTAGATTAGATGATTGGATCATTTAGGGAAGGCATTAAGAGGATTCCTTTCCTGAAGACTTTGGCAAAGTTGTTCGCGTGGGGGCCCACGACCCAAGGTTGAATCACGTGGGTCGTCGCTCGCTGTTGACAAGTGCACAAATTTTGGTTATCTGCTTAATCTTCGTTTCAACAAACATACTACGTTTTAATTGGGTCTTTTAATTTTATTTTTTATTAATAAAAACTCATAACTAACATGAGAAATGTTATAGAGAATTTCAACAATAATTGGGTCTTTTACTTTTTGGCAGTTCACAATTAACGTCAATTTTTGTGTTAACATTATAATAAAATATCATAACAATAATATGAGATAGAAAAAAACTTTGAGTATGTGAAGTGTGAACAAATCAATTAGGCCCAACCTACAATTGTCACGGCACTCCACGCAATCGACTGTTAGAATTTTGGTGCACATCATAGTTGTGTTTCACGTGCCGACTTGGTTGTGTTTCACGTGCTGACTCTCATGTTTCATTAGGCTTTAGGTTGTACAGTCTAAAATGAAAGCTTGGGCTAAACTGGAATTTTCAACCAGTCACTTTCAAGGTTAACCCAGGCCCATATCGATTTAAGGTTTGGATCGAAATTCTTCAAATACCGAGCCCAATTTCAAATTTTCCTTTGAGGTGTGTTCGGGTTTCAATCTGTTCCGTTTTTTGCCAAACTTGTAATCAAACAGAAATTAATTCGATTTTTTTAGTTCGGATTTTCTTTGGGTTTTTTTTCTTTCTTTCTTTCTCGATTTGGTGTTCAACTCCATTATTTTTTATTTTTAATTTTGAACCCACCCCTACTTTGTATGAGCCCTATTTATTTAAATCTAATTGAAGCTGCAGGTACGAGCATTGATACTATGCACTGCAACAAACATATTCACCCTAACGATTACTAATGTAGGTATGACCACGTCTGCAAAATTTTCCTTTAAGCTACAGTTTTCATTTCGAGAAACAAAATAGCCTTGCGTAATATTTTTATTTTATATTTGTTAAGAGTTTATTTGCCTTGTTAATATGTAAATCCAATGATTTCGGAGGTTAACAGTCTCCATCCCCCCCTTTCATTGTGTAGAGAAATGTTAATAGAACTTTTTGTCACCTTATGTTTTATTTACACAATATTTTATAATGTTGATACGGAATTGACGCAATAATTCATGAAGAATCCCACTTTTAAAATAGTTGTTTTATCATTTCCCATCGGTATCTCATAGGTGCAAATTTGTATTAGAATTTATTTCTACCGTCTACCCGCCTTTCCTTTTCTGTTTGGCACTTGCAATACAAGGCATGCGACGTGGCAATCCTGTGATTTATTGTTACAGCTGGCGATACACTGAATAGGTTTGCAATCAATGAATTTAAATCATTTTTTGGAAGGAATTTCAACTTTCAGGTGGGAACTCTGAATCAAGTTCAATAGTTTTTTTCCTTCGAAATAAGGAATTAAAATTTTACACGCACATAATTCGAAACCCGTGGGCTCCTAAAACTAAAACTGCAAGCTTTTCATGAGCCCGTGCACTTGGGTTTCGGTGTTTGAGATGGTCAAAGTCAATCATGCGACCCAGGTGACCCAACCTGTTTGTTCCCAACCATGAACCATTTAAACCATATTCACAATTTATGCTTTTCCAAGCGTTCACACTTTCTTAAATGTTACTAACTTAAAACTTCACCAGCATAGAAATACACGTAGTCACATTGATTAGAGCGGGTAAATGTGTTTTTTATTTATTATAACTATAAGAGCAATTTAGTAGGCTAGATACGATTGAACTTTAGAATAAGATTGGATGTGTATGAACTTGCAAGCCAGAACTTGTAACCCATGTATAAGAATACGTTAGATAACCAATTCTATTTCCAAATGGAAGGAGATTAACCACAAGTTGTGGGCCACAATGCATCAACACCATCACCTCACAATTTCTTTCTCCCTATAGACCCACCACGGCATCATCACTCTCTCTGCCGCCCCCAAGAAGCTGGGATAGGTGCGCGGTCGATTTCAGACCCAAAGTTTGCTCTTAATCTTGGGCTGGCGACGGTGACTGAATGCGATTAGTGGAAGGGGTTGTGGGTGGGAGGAAGAGAGAGACTGTAAAGCTTTAGTGTTGTTGTATTGGAGAACTAATTTAAAAAGAACAAATTAACAAAGAAAAATATTAATTGATTAATTGATGTGACATGTACAAATTAGTTACGAGATGATTAGAGAAGACGGTTCAAATTAGTAGTCTCCCACATTATTAAAGCAACAATAGCTGGACCAAGCTTTTACTTGCGGAATACGAAACGCGTGAACAGAAGGGAAAAACCTGTATATGAAAATGAAATGAATAATCTCCTTCCAAATATAAACCGCTGCGCACCAAATAACCGATCCACGTCTAACGTTGCCTGGTCACACTGTAAACCACCCAGCCAGGCACCACCTCACTTTGCTACTTTCCATCTCCCCAAGCCATGCTATTTATTTCTCATTTTTCCAAAACTTATTGTTTTGTCTTTCTAGAAAAACCGTACTTTCCGCTACGTTTTGCTGTACACAACAACATCACTCCTCACTTGACCAACTTCTCCACCAGCCACCCTAAAAAAACCCTAGGTCTGCTATAGAACTCAAATTTTCTGGTTCACTGTCGGAGTTTGACTCCCATAAGAAAATATCGAAATGCTGGTTTCGGTGTTTTTGGCGATGTTTGTGCCGTGCGTGGGGATGAGCGTGGTGTTCGTAGTGTACGTCTGTCTGTTATGGTACGCTACGAACAACCAAGCCGCCAACGTTGGGCTACCTGTCAAGCAGATTTCCGAGAATGGATTGTCGGCGTCAGAACTCGACAAGCTGCCTAAAATTACAGGGAAAGAGGTGATGGCGGAGAGGAGGGAGTGCGCGGTGTGTCTGGACGATATCGAGGGAGAGCAACCGGCGCGGGTGGTTCCCGGTTGTAACCACGCCTTCCATCTGCTGTGCGCCGATACCTGGCTTTCGAAACACTCGTTTTGTCCGGTTTGTCGGGCCAAACTCCACCCGGTTCTTCAGTCTCTCGATTCATCTGAAAATCAGTGTTGATTAAGAAACAAACGAAAATATTGCAGAGAACAAGCAAAAGCTAGCTCTGCTTTTGTTTTCACCGAGGGTTGGTGATTAGCTGTCCATTAATGCTAATCAGTCTTGATTAGCATTGGAATCCGTTGGCATTCATGGTAACTATCACTTTTGATTCGAAACATCAACCATTTTTGCTACTGTATTTTCAAAAAATTTGTTATTAGCAATTAGTTTATTATTATTGTTTCGGGTCGAAATTATTATTTTCTGAGTTGTATTGATACCGTACTTGATAAAAAATGGCCGCACGATGAACGGATGTGATTGGAGGATCCCCGAGATTCTCACAAAAAGGATCTAGTGATGATCCTCCGTCTTATTAACGAGGTTGAGATCCTAATATGTGGCCGAAGAGAGACATAGATCAAGAGAGATTTGTTGCTAGTTATCTACTATACAAATCTCGAAATTTAAACTTATCCAACAGTTATAATGAAGGTGGTGACACCATCGTCACTTGAGGATGGTAAGCAAAAATATTCCAGCGTAGTATTGGAGAGGCAAGGTGTGTGATTCTATAATGGAGTCGCTGGCAAGTCGGTGATGGTTCCAAAACTAAGGGACGGGGTGATAATTGGCTGTCCAGGAAAAACTTCTTTAAGGGTATTATGTTAATAGAGCAGCGAATGCAGCGACACATAAATGTCAAAACTGTGTGTCATCACAAAAACTGTGTGTGATTTCAAAAACCTCCAAATATCATTTCAGACCTCCAAATATCATTCCAAATATCATATTCATGGAATGCTCTTTCCTTTCGTCCCAGTTGAAACCTCTGACAAACTTTATTGAGATCTCAATAAAACACCCCTTACGAATTGTCCTATATCATCGATGAATGTGATCCTTCTCTTAAAACAAAAAAAAGAAAAGAAAATCAAACTCAATTTTCCGGTATGGCCCTAAGAAAAGAATATGTTTCTCTTCGTAACTCTTTTAAGTCAGCGTGGGCCCTCGTGGACCTTGGCACACTCCGCAATTTACTAGAAAGGCCCACAAGGAATTAGAAACCTTATTCTATTGTTTGCCTGTTGGGGGATTGAGGAGAGAATAGACCCATGAAATATGGACCAAATTCTTAGCTCGAATCATAGATAATTGGAGTGCACCATCAAACATTCCTGAATTTGATGCCTTGCAACTTACCTCTAGTTGTCCACCATGCCACATAACTCCTCACAATGATAATCCTATAATTGCAAATTATTATATGTTTCTTATTTTTTTTTTCTCGACAATTCTAATATGATCGTTCAACCAAAATTTTGGTTCGGTTAGTATGAGCAACGACGTACAAACATATGTTGATGTAGATTAGGCTAATTGGCTCAAGAAGTATGACCGCTTTTTGAACTCCAATTTGATTTCTCCTTCCTAAAAATTAAAGTTACAGTATCACATTTTTGAACGGAGAAAAAAAAATTTCAGCATATGATTCCTCTGCTCACTCTTCTTTATTTGTGCCTCATAATTCTATTTTAATTTATTAACTAAATGTGAGAAATAAACAAACGTTGGGAAAAATAGAAGGGAGTGGGGCAAATAACTTCCCCAAAAAATGATTAAGCGTGTAGACACTTGGGCCGTCTAATATATTTCCTTGACATTATTGTGTAGACAATTGGGCTGCCTGATTCTGGTAGGAGGCCCAAATTTTAACCAAATCAATTGGGATGTTTTACCAACCAATTTAGCCGAAAGCCGGGGAAGATACAAATTGGTTTTTTCCCTTTTAATCTCTTTTTTTTTTTTCCTTCCAAAATCCATGGAAAATACATACGCCACAGGCGGCTATATATGTAGTTTTTGTCTTGGTGCGGTTCAGGTGATTTAAAACATGCGGAGTGCTCTATTTATAGAGCAACTCCAAACTGATGCAGTTAATGCATCTTGAATTTTATGACACTTCGTCTGACTATACAATTTCACATTCAACTTTCACTTTGCATGGACATTGAAAATTTTTGCCCATGCTGAAGACTTTTGCTAACATACTGTGTGGACATTCATTGCCATCAGGCATCAGACTTTTCAACACTTTCCCTTTTAATCTCTTTTTTTTTTTCCTTCCAAAATCCATGGAAAATACATACGCCACAGGCGGCTATATATGTAGTTTTTGTCTTGGTGCGGTTCAGGTGATTTACCCAACTCCACTCGAAGAAAGGGAGAGAGGCAAAGGAGGAAAAAAAAAAAATGGCGGAAGCAAAGCACAGAATCCTTAAACTCGAAACAGGTTTAACGTTGTTGTTCGTTCTTGTTTTGAACGGATGCGCGCAGAGCTTGCCACCTTCGAAATACGATGGGTTTTGGTACGGACATCACCGAGTTGACTTGGATTCGATTCTGATCGAAGCCTTTTTCGACCCGGTCTGCCCAGACAGCAGGGACTCCTGGGCGCCCCTCAAACAAGCCGTCGAGTACTACGCCCCTCGCGTCTCGGTGGTGATTCACCTGTTACCCTTACCGTAAGTAAACAGATTCCTCTCTGTCCCCCCCTCTCTCTCTGCCTATATGTCTGCCAGAAATTGGATAAGCAGGAATTCCACCGTAGTATTTGAGAAATCGATTGCATGTTGTGAATTTGAAGTCAGAAGATTATGGATGAGGAACAATCACTCAAAGTGATTAAATTAAAGAAAATTAAACTGACAAATAAACCAGGCTTAATTTTGCAAAATTCAGACTTTGAGGCGACCTTTACCCTGACTGAGTATGAAATTACTCAAAAAATAGTGTTTCTGAAACTGCAGTTACCACGACAGTGCTTTCGTTAGTTCTCGGGCTCTGCACATCGTAAATCAGCTGAAAAAATCTGCCACATTCCCGTTGTTGGAGTGGTTCTTCAAGAATCAGGTTAAGATCACTTGACTAGTTTTTATTTTGGGTGCTGATGCTGATGCTCTGGTTACTTTTTCATTTGATACTACTGGTCTATCAGCAATCTGCATTATATAGATTCAATTTCTTGACTTGCTCTCGGGAATTCACTTATTCGATCCATTACTCAGCTGCTAGGCTGATTCGCTGGATTTCGGGCTCATATTTCTCAGATGAAAGCTATTATTTTCCTTCTTTTTTATACAAAGAGTTGGTTGCTGCCTGTAGTTTGTTAGCCGAGATATCTGTGTGTTGTTGGCATTGAAGTTTCTTTTGATCTGAACTTGTTTCAAAAAATTAAACAGGAGAGGTATTACAATGCTCAAACTAGCAACATTTCCAGGGCTGCTGTTGTAAATGATATAGTGAACTCTGCCACACAAGTGATTGGGAACTCCTATCATAGCGCCCTTGAATCCGGCTTCAATGACCGGAAAATGGACCTCAAAACAAGGGTTTCATTCAAGGTACCGTAGTATATCATTTCTTTGTTACACATGTGCTTCAAATTTCTCGTATAATCATTTTTTTCATGTCGAATGTCTTTCATCCTGCAGTATAGCACTTCAAGAGGGGTGTATGGAACGCCTACTTTCTTTGTCAATGGATTTGTACTGCCAGATTCTGGATCCACTTTAGATCTTAATGGGTGGAAAAAAGTCATCGATCCATTAGTTGTCGGTAACGGGGTGCCATAGAGCCAAGAAAATATGCGCTTCTTCTTGTGAAGGATTGATTGAGCTATATGCTTGATGTGCTTCAGTGCTTGGTTGGTTGAAGAATAAACTCTACAAAGCTGGTTCCAGTGTATATATTTATTTGTGAATTGTTGTCATGGAATTAATGATTTGTAACCGTTGTGAAAAATGGATCCACTCTGCTCAAGACTTTTGCACCTCTTGTGACATAGTATTTGCAATTTACCTTGCTTCGGAGGGGTTTTTTTATTTTTATTTTAATTATTAATTTTTTTTTTATTTTTTTCAATTAACTTTGACAAAAGCACGTAACCAATTGGTTGAGGCATTTGAAGGCAAAAAAAAAAAAAAAAAAAAAAAAAAAAGGTCTTGCGGCATTTGGTGTTCACTTGGTTTTTTTCTATTCTTATTATTATTATTTTTTTTTTTTGAAAAGGGACCAGTTGGTGGATTTGACATGGTAGTCCACCATTTTGGGGGCGGAGAAAATTCACAGAGGCATTCACTTGGTTGGCCCTCACGAATTGGACATATGAAAGAGGTTGTTTTTTTTTAATTTTTTTTATTTTTAACATACGATATTATCTACATTAAGATGGTGGAATGGACTAAGCTTCACCATGGACTCGCAATGTAGTTCAACATCGCCTTTGGCAAGAATTCAAACTTAAGACTCTCACTTATAAGTCGAGGAATACCACTGAACCGTAAACTAAATGATAATACGAAAGAGTTTAAAACCAAATTAAAAGTTCAAAGGGCAGAGCACAGCATTGTCGACCGTGTTTTTATTCATTGAAATTGCAAGAGTAAGAGGCCCAGTATCGTATGGGCCGGCCAGCCTCTAGTTAGCCCTAGGGGCTGTCTCGGGCCCAGGATTTCAATAAGTAGTCAGACGGCCCAAATTGTGGATTTTGGGAGGGGAAGTAGTAACTGATTGGAGACAGAGACGGGGGAGGAAGTAAAGGTGGTGGTTAGGGTAGTTTCGTGAGGAGTATATAAGCCAAGAGATCCTCACCGTGTGAATTAGGGCGTAAAAGAAAAACGAAGCCGTAGAAGAGGGCTCTTTTTTGTGTGGAGCGCTTACTTATCCTTTTTTGAACCACCACCACCACCACCGGTACGTTCCCTTTCCTCTCTCCATCCAGATCCCACCCTCCATTTCCTTCTCTCTCCTCTCGATTTTGGATGTTCCGCCTAGTTTGGTTTCCGAGAAAAACTTTTTTCCCGATAATTTTTTTGATTTTGTTGTTTGTGTTAGAGCTGTGCTTTTGGGACCTGGTTTTGTTTTGTTTGTCCTGGAATTTGTATAGCGTGATGGCTTAATTTTATTCATTTTTTGGTTTTTGTATTTTGGAGGTGGTTAATTTTGTGTTTTGAAAAAAAATTAGGGCGGAAGAGATGGATCGGTACCAGAGAGTGGAGAAGCCGAGAGTGGAGACGCCAATCGATGAGAACGAGATTAGGATTACCAGTCAGGGCAGGATGCGCAACTACATCACCTACGCCTTGACCCTGCTTCAGGTCTCTCTCTCCTCTTTTTGTTTGTTGCTATTTTTTCTGTTTAATTTCCGCATTCGGATGTATCGAATTGAAAAAAAATTGAATAGAATGAAATTGTGTTGTGGATTATGATGAAACAAATTCAAACCTTGTGTATTTCTCTGCTGCTGTTGATTTTCTATACATATGCAATTGTTTGGTAATATATAATGCTTGTGCAAGTTGAGATTGCTTAGTGACCGAATTATTAAAGATTGAATTAGGATTTTGGATTTAATTTACGTTATGTTAATCGGGTTTGCTTTTCTGAAGGACTTAGGATTTGATTTAGGTTATGTTAGTCCTCTAATAAATGATACAATACCTTAGATTTTCCTTTATCCGTTTGTGTTGCATCCCTTCAGGAAAAAGGATCGGACGAAATTGTGTTCAAGGCTATGGGAAGAGCCATCAACAAGACTGTAACGATTGTGGAGTTAATCAAGGTTATATCTCTTGTTCCGAATCATTCAATGTTGGTTTTGAGATGTTTGTTTCAGTTGGTGGATTAGGCTGATGATATATTTTTTTTACTGTTGCTTCAGAGAAGAATTGTTGGTCTTCACCAGAACACGACAATTGGATCTACAGACATAACTGATATCTACGAACCCCTTGAGGAAGGCCTTGATACGTAAGACTAGTTAAACCTTTTTTGAACAACTCTGATTCGTTGCAGTACCTCATGAGGAGGGGTACTTTTTTTTTGGCCTTGTCTCTTATTGGTGATTTTATACCTCGTGTTGTCCTGTTTTTGTCACAGTTTGGAGACAACAAGGCATGTGTCGATGATTGTGATAACACTGTCTAAGAAGGAAATAAATCAATCCTCCATCGGGTGAGTACTAGTTACCTTTTTCTTATTTGCAATAGAACCCGAGGTTGTAGAGTTGTGTCGCAAGTAGAATCACTACCTGACAATAACGGGCTATATGGAACCATATTACTCAAAAGATTGGAGGTTCTAGTATAAATCTTGTTATTTATAAATCGTGTAGCTACTATAAGTATACTCAGTTTACATTGGTTATTAACATTATGGATTGCTGATTCACACATTAAGATCTGTTGTATAGTTTGAGCTTGTGTGAGAACTTCTATTTACAAAATAGGCTAACAAATTATCACTGTATGGTTTCTTGCTTTCATGTAGGATATGAAATTCTTTTTTCTAATTATGTCCTGTTGGTCCTTTTCCTTTTGTTAAGAGGTATTTTAACATTTGTGAACCACTGCTACCATCAGGTATCAGCCACCTTTACCTGCTGAGCTTGTGAAGGCATCAACAGAGATTGATTATGAAGGAGGTACTACCATTTTACTACCACGTTCATTTAATTAGCAATTGTCTTCCTTTTCCCCCCATTGTATTACTGTACATTTTCTTGAACATTTCTGTTTTCTGCAGAGGGCACACCAAATGGTCGTGGCCGTGGCCGTGGACGTGGCAGAGGAAGGGGAAGGTTTAGAGGTAGCCTGTTAGAATGTTTCTACACTTTTACGTACCTTTTTCTATAAATTCTCCTATTAATTCTGCTGGCACTATAATTGTTTCCTTTGCCAATTTCAACCTGTGTCCCGTATACAGATACGTTGTAAAATGTTTGAGTAATTGTGACTCAAGAATGTTGTGATGGTTTTTTGTGACGTGATTGGTGTACAGTATTATAGCCTGAATAGGAACTGGTTTTGGATTTCAAACAGGCTATTGAAGTGTTTTAATGGTTAAATTGTTTTGACAAGGTAATAATTAATATGTTAATAATTGCAGGGAATGGCTTTGTCTCAACTGAATATGACGATGGAGGCTACGACCGCAGTCAGGGTAACTTTAGGGGTAGGGGCCGTGGGAGAGGACGTGGTGTGCGAGGCCGTGGAAGAGGAGGGTACAATGGTCCCCAGTTTGATGCTCAGCAAGATGGAGGATACTATGAAGAAGCACCTGCTCAAGGTGGCCGCGGTATGTAAATCTCCTTTTTCCCCTTGCATATAGCCATACGAGAGTAGTGTGTGGGTTCCCGGATTCTTTTGCTTGATTGATTTGCATAGGCAGCTGTGATGTAGCCAACTGAAATTGTTTACACATTGCTTCTCAATACAATATTGGTGTGCAGGTCGTGGCCGTGGGAGGGGAGGATATCGTGGAAGGGGACGTGGCTATAGGTCAAATGGGCCGATCCAGGCAGCTGCTTGAGGTGCGATATGAGCGTCGTTGGAACATCATACAAAAAATGGCCAGTGTCTAATAATGGGCGCCTTATCTTATCAAATATCTATGTTTACAAGTTTCCGTTTTCCTATGTCGTTTATTATTACCCCTGGTATGGCAGACTTATTATTAACTGTAAGGTATGATCCCTGTAGATTTAGTTTAGAGTTCCATGAGGGAATCCCTCTGTTTTGTCGTGTAGATTAGGTGAGATGTTTGAACAGTTGTAATTTTCCATCTGGATTGATAAGCGTATTCTTTTATTTTTGTTGCCAAAATTTTTGGTGTCAACAGAGGAGTCGTCTCCCCTCCCCATCTCCTTCATTTTTGGGTTTTGCGAGAGCGGCATCATGTACTTTTGTGCTTCTTTTAAGATGACTATTTTTTAACTGCGAAAATTTGTTGGGTGCCGGTATGGTTACCAGGGTATCCAAGCAGCACTTTCAGGGATTTTAATTCGAGTGCCTCCACACGATAGACCTCAACTGAAAATTGAAGAGTAACAACGACAACAAGTGATTGAGTTAAGAAGTTCTTCATATAAAATTAATGACTCTAGAGATACGGTAATATGGAGAAGACAAAATTGTTTCAAGCACCTACAGAATCAAAAGTGGATGACGGGTTATTCACATTTCATTTACATATAATCTTTTTGTTGAGTTTGGTGCTTAGTTATGGACCTATTGTTGACATGTGTGACTTAGTCTGATATTCCTATCTTAGTAATTTTCTTTTGGCAAACAATAGCATAAGTAGGTTAAATTGTTAGTTGCTATGAAGAGGGAAATCGGTTAAAATCGAACCTGCACTAGGGTGCATACACATAATTGTTTTTCGTCACAATGATAAAGCCACATTTTGCCTCTCTTAATAACAGAGTAGCATAAAAAAAATATGGAGTTTAATTCGGTTAAGAATTGTTTTCTAAAAAGCAATACAAGTGCTTGTATGCTTTTTTATTTTCCCTATTTTATTTCTTAAATTTGATGTTGGTGAATATTTTGGTTCCTCTCAATTGAAGACTGAAATATGACTTGAAGAGAAAGAAAACCCGTACAAGAAGAGTAACACTGGCACTGCTGCCTGCAACCAAGAAAAGCAGCTGCTGCAAAAATTCTAGTTGGTGGGTGTTTTTGAAGAAGAAGGACGATGAGTACTCAAGACGTGCAGATGAAGGACGACGAATCCTAGTCCCAACCCCAACCTCAACCCTCTTTCCATTCCGATTCAGCTTCCACTTTGCAGCGTAAGCTTCAAAATCTCTGTCTCACATTTGTTCTAACTTCTAGGGATTTCGTTTCCTCCTCAATTACATGTTTGATTCTGAAATATGGGCTTTATCTACTCCGTAGATTTGAAGGAGGCGGTGTTGTTCATTGAGGCCGCTTCCTCCACCAAAGAGGTCGCAGAATAGCCCGCGTCGTCCGCCTCACGGTTGCGCTCGAAAACAACCATATATCCTTTTGATTTACTATTGATATGATTTAAAGTACGAAAATTGTACCACTAGAGCGTCTAGCGTGAATATAGAATTATAGAGTTGATAAGTTCAAACACTGAATTGTGAAATGTATTATCATGTGCAAGAATTGAGCAGTTGACCTTCAATCATTTAAGCACCAACTTAATAACTCCTAACCATCATTTCACTCAAACGACTTTCTGACCTTTCAACTCCCATCCATACACGTCTCTTAATTTCCGAACGTTGGATTGAAATAGTTGAAGAAGAACAAAGAATAAAAATTAATAGAAGTTGTATGAATAGCACCATCCTTGATTTATTATTTATTAATGTATACAACGTTCTTTGCTTTCCGTACAAACTCCTGAATTTGCGCCACAAAATTTTATGATTTTTCCTTCTCTGGGTTTTTATTTGTTTTTGGGGACTTCACCCTTATCGTCTAAAAGAATGATAAAAACTCTTATTGTTTACGACTTCATATGATTGTCAAATTCTTATTAAACGATATTGTATGGGAGAGCCCTCTCTAGATCTCGCTAGCGTAGCGGTGCTTAATAAACTATATGACAAGTCGATGGACTCTCTCTGTCACAAATGCTTGACGGTGCTACATCACATGGCAACTGTCATGAACATATTACTAAAATATAATCATACCAAAAATTATTTTCCAAAATTACACATTCATTTGTTTTCTCTATAAAAAAAATAAAGTGATTCCATTTGTACTGACGGGTTCAGAAATTTTATTTTGGATAGGCCAAATACGAAAAAAAGAAAAGAAAACAAAGAGAGTTAATAAGTTATTTTTTACAACACATTTGCCTTTATTGCTTGGTGAGCGAATCTTAACGATAATCGCGCATGAGGGATTGAAGAAGGAAGTTGAGATAGAGAAATTTGAGCGTAGTGAGTAAATTCTCATTAAATGGAGGATATAGTCGATGGTTTCGTGTAGAAAAGGAAAATGCATTGTCCAGCCTTGCCATACAATGTGTCCGGAATGTCCGCTTCTAGCTGCATATGTGCAAAGGGGGTCATGTGTAATGCACATGAAGAAAGAAAAATGATGCCAATGTATGTATAATATAAGGTCAAGCCTCAAGGAAGTAGCATGTGAAGTAATACGACCCTGACATATATAAATTCCAACCATTCAAAAACACATTAAATATTTGCACATTTTATCTTCAAATAGCAACAACCTGCAATTTTGAAGAAGGAAACCCTTAATCAAAGGAACAATTGGATTTCTGCATTTTGGGCTCTTCTGTTGGCCAAGAGCATGTGAAGTGGAGGTGGGAGAGAGAGAAACAGTGAACGTGGGAATAATAATTGACTGAACAAGTCAGACTTTGCAGAGAGAGAGAGAGAGAGAGAGAGAGAGAGAGAGAGAGAGAGAGAGAGAGATTATTCAATTCATTATTTAATTAACACACCAAATTAATCATACGCGTTCGATCCGGCTGCAGAGTTCCCATGTGAGGTGCTTGCATGGGGCAATGCATCACTGAGTCGATCTGTTCTCTTATTTATACTTTAAAATGCCCGATTAGTGTAAATGCACTCCCAAATACGTACCAATTCCCATCTCTCTCTCCTCGATCTCTCTCTCTAATCAACGATGGCGAAGCTCTTTTTTCCATTAGCAATCTTTCTGGGAGTATACAATCTCTCGACATATGTTACTGCATTCACAGCATCTGGCTGGACTAAAGGTCATGCCACATTCTATGGAGGCAGTGATGCCTCTGGAACTATGGGTACGTACGTAGCTTTGTTTATTTCTGTCGTTTGATATTCATTCCAAATGCCGAAACAAACAATTGTATGCAAGAAAAAGTATGCAGAAATTGCTTCTTTCACTAACTTTTTGTTATGATCAACCGAACTCTTGACCTATCCTAATTCTAACGTGTTACGGGGTTTTGTGCACTGCAGGGGGAGCTTGTGGATATGGCAACCTGTATTCCACCAGGTACGGGACTAGGACAGCGGCTTTAAGTACCGCCCTGTTTAACGACGGCGCTTCATGTGGACAATGCTATAAGATCATATGCGACTACAACACAGATTCTAGATGGTGCATAAAAGGAAGGTCCGTGACAATTACTGCAACAAACTTTTGTCCTCCCAATTTTGATCTTCCAAACGACAATGGAGGATGGTGCAACCCACCCCTTCAGCACTTCGATATGGCTCAGCCTGCCTGGGAAAAGATCGGAATTTACCGCGGTGGCATCATCCCGGTCCTGTTCCAAAGGTAACTTTAATTAGTCCGAAAACTGAACTTTAAACCTTGAATTAGTTTGAATTTAGATAATTAATTTCTGATCCGAAGTTGATATGTTATCGATAATGTGTTGATATCATTGTAACTTACATTATGTATCGACATGTTATAAACCATACCAATATAATATCTATGACAAAACCAATCAACGTGTCGACACGTAGATTTTCAGCAACCTCAACGCGTTCATCGTCTGTGCACAAAGAATTTCTGTATTGAACCCTTTGTGTAGTGTAATATATTTATGGGAATTGGATCATGTGCAGGGTACCATGCAAGAAGAAAGGCGGTGTGAGATTCACAATAAATGGGAGGAACTACTTTGAGCTTGTGCTGATCACCAATGTTGGAGGAGCTGGATCTATCAAGTCTGCTTACATTAAAGGATCCCAAACTGGTTGGATGGCAATGTCCATGAATTGGGGAGCAAACTGGCAGTCCAACGCCTACCTCAACGGCCAATCTCTGTCGTTCAGAGTAACCACAACCGACGGCGAAACTCAACTGTTTAACGACATTGCTCCCGCCAACTGGGGATTTGGCCAAACGTTCACCAGCAACGTACAGTTCTCATAATTAAGCTGGTGGTGGTTTAATTAATTCAAGTGGCTGCTTTTACGGTTCTGGGTTAATTAACGGCAGAGGCGTGCTTATATTATTTTTCAAGAGGCAGCCCGCCACATTTTTTGGGTTTATCAAATTAAGTGGTTATATGTTGTCATTTCTGATGCCCAGAAATTAAGTATAGGGCTAGATCCCAAAACAACATCTGTTTGTACCGTTTGAATAAGAAGCGCCGTGAAGATGCAGCTTCAAACGTGTAGAAATATTTGCCTTTTTACTACAAAAGAAATAATAATAATAATAATAATCTTATGTTCTTGACATATGAATTGCTAGTGTAATATTTCAATCTTCTTCGAAATCATAATGCCCTATAATTCATGTTGTACTTCATTAGCATTGGTTATTAAACTGCATGATTTTGGTCTAAAATGTACTTAAGATTGAAGCTTAATGCACATGACCACTTTTAAGATTGAAGCTTAGCACTAGTGCTCAGCAGCTGTTCGTGAACCCTATCCCACATTTCTACGTACGACTTTGTTCTGAAAACTTCCATGTATTCTTCGTTCACGCTTGACTTGCTGGAGAAGCCATTGCCGCCGACATTGTCTTTTTCTCTTCCTGAAATTAAATTACCAATCAATTAAAGCAATATCTATTGATTCTTCAAAAACAACATAGTAATTTTTTTGAAATGTGAAATAATCAACTAGCAATCATAAGTTAAGGAAATTAGCATGCACAGAAATATAGAAATCGGAACTCACTTGGCTTGAAGAACGCAGATCTCAACTTGGTTCGTAGGGTTTTCCTCATTTTCCTCATCTTAGACATGATCATCAAAATAAAACAATATATAAATATATATTTCGATCGATGGAAGATGCAGGTTAAATGAAGCTGCTTACTTGTTCTCTCTTTAAAATCGCAGGAGAGTCGAAGCGGCTTAAAAAGAAAGAAGATATGGAGAAAGTTCGCATATAGATACGCAGAGAGAGAGAGAGAGAGAGAGAGAGAGAGAGAGAGATGGGGACGACACCCAGTTGGCAGTTATAGGCTTACAGCACCGACTAGCTTTGTGGCTTTGGTCACATGTCAGAGTCCCTCACACGTTTTGCTCTCTCTCTACGTGTAAGGCTTTCAAGCTAAATTATATATATATACACACACATATACAAACGATATTATCTACACTAATGTGTGAAATATGAACTTATTCATATAAATACATTTTGTTCTCTTATATGTATTTATTCATCTATCTCGTCAACGAATATCGTACTAAAAACTTTTTTATATAATTATTAAAATGTAATGGTTGGTGTGAAAATTGTCCAATAACGATTTGATTAGTTGCTATAATTTACGTGTTTTATTTGAAGATTTTGTGTCGTTGTGCCATAAAAGGACAACACTAATAGGTAAGGATCGTTCACAAAAATGTTACTGAATATCGCAATAATGTTGCCATGAAGAAATGTTCAAGCAACACGCATTTGATAAGCACGATCAAATGGATAATTTAGTACTACACGCGCGACTTAATGAAGCAACACGCATTTGATGGCTCAAAAGATAAGCATTAGTTTTGTACTCGGATGGGCCTTTGCAATAAAGAATTTCTCCGTTTTGCATAAGTATGGACCTGCGAGCTCCGCACATTTTCTACATGGAAGCTCAACTGAGCCATCTTTAGCGCCATTCTTAATTACAGACAATCTTAAATGTAAAAATTTGCATTGCATACGCCCTTCATTTTCGTCACTCTCGTTATGTCACATGACACGAGGGGAGTATGCCTCCTGTGGCAAGTTACTTTCATTTTTGTAATAGTTAAAATATACTAAAACGAAATATTTTGTCCTGTTTACTTATTAACGTATTTCTTTGTCATTTTTATTTTATACATAAAGTAGTGGGGATTGGTAAGTCGAATATAGACGAATAAAAGGTTAAATGTTCTTAAGAACTGCAAGTCTCTTACTATATCGAGAAACAAGCTGTAGTGCAAAACGTTATGCCGGCCAACAAAATAAAAGAATAGTCACTTGTTCTGAATTAAATGTGTAAGTCATGAAAGAAATACAAGAAGAAGGGCCGAGGAATTACTCCTACATGTACGCGGCAATTTAACAATAGCACAATGAGTCTTTGACCCAACCGTGACTAATTCAAATAACACTGTTGACCCTAAAAATTACAAAGCCTACGTGGTGCGCAGGCCGAGTAACTAATGAGCTAACTACGTCCTTCAATTGTATGCGGGGCGCGCCAACTCGTCGGCTGAGCTCGGCTGAGGAGTAAAATTTGTTGATGTTGCGTTAAGCGTGTTGCTAACTTCTTGATCTTGCGACTGTGGCCGAGGAAGGAACACGTCTCGGCCTTCGGGTTCTAGATCCTAAAGACAAGGTTGCTAGTTCTGCGAAGTTCAATATCAAATTCGGCTCTCAGGGTGCCGAATGTAGTAACCTGGTAACACCTCACTTCGCCAAGAAGACTAATGAGATGACCTCTGCCAATAAGGATTCGAAAATCCTTATCGATCGAGACTTGGATAGATAACCAGTTGACCTTGACGCAGTGTTGTTTATCCAAACTGAAGATGCTTCGCGGTCGGCTGATTCTATGGCAACAGTGCTGTTTATCCAAATTGAAGATGTTCGCCGGTTGCCTTTACAGTGTTGTTTATCCAAATTGCACAATGTCTTGTATTTATAAGGATGAGTACGTGGTTCTATATGTGTTTCTCGCGGAGCATCCGTAGCTGGCCACAATTTGAATCTCTCGAAGATAAGCACTTCATACAAATAAAAACTCTTGATAACCATCTCATTTAGCCGTTTAACAGTGACCCATCCTCATTGGCTATTGGATTTGATGGAATCAGACCAATTTGCATGCACATGAAACTCTTTCTATAGCATCCTGAGGAACCATGCAATGTTAGGCCCATGTTTGTGTCCAAGTGCATGCATCGCCAAAATTTAAACACTTTAGCCCATGTCGTGCTTGCCCCTGAAGAATATGCTAATTATTAGCATAAATTTATGTGCTAATAATCATCCCAACTCGGAATATGCCGCACCATTATCTTTTTGTGATCATCATATATCACCATTAACCAAAAGATAACCTTCATGCATGGTTAACCGACTCCAAGCATACGTCTAAATGTCGAGAATCCCAAATCAAATTGAACTGCATACGCGCTTCCAAGTTGGAGATATAACTTGCATCCTATTTATCCCATATAAGAAAATTTGAAGATAATTCATATTAAAAAATAATTATTATGATAAAAACCATAATATTATCCTTTAACAATAACAAAATTATCTCCACTTTTCCATCCGACAATTGAGAGCTATACTCACTCAACGGCCTTGAATACTCGTACCGATAGTGTAAAATCAGGTCCAAACAAACATAAACTTACCTTTAATATGGATTAAATCCCATATCCATGACACATACTTATTGACTTGGCTTATATAAAATAAATTTATTTCAGCACACACTTTTATTGCTTTAGTGACTAGGATAATAAAACCCAAATTATTAAGTATACGAAAGAGCACAATCGAAAGCAATCGTCTGAGTAGACCCCAGCACTCGGAAGCTCTAAAATTTGGAGATATTTGAGCATTAGCATTAGGGTCAGCAGCAATGTCAATGACAAATCGGTACCTAAAGTCATTCTTTGCAACGCAGTCCAACGCCTCGTTGATTTTGTCCGGCATTGTAAGCTTAATGTCGCATGTAATCTTATGCTTCCCACATAAATCCATCATCTCCTTTATCTCATTTATTCCTCCTATCATGCTCCCCTTCACTGCTCTCTTCCCTGTACTACATGCACGTCAATCCATCAATTACAACGCCATTGCATGCATAGGTTCGTTGTTTTCTACAAAAATTAGAAATTAATTCATCGTATTTTTTTAATACTTGCCAAATATAAGAGGAAATGAAGGCAATTCAAATGGCTGGTCCGGTGCACCCACAACCACCATAGTTCCATTCACTTTGAGCAGTTCTAAGATGGGCCCAAGCGAGTGCTTAGCAGACACCGTGTTCAATATGAAGTCGAGTGCCCTCTTCCCCTTCTGCAGTCGTCGTCGTCATCATCATCGTCATTAACTTTAATTAATCCTGAATTAATTTTTTCTAAAAGTAAAATAGAGAATAACAACACAAATTGGAATAAAACCTGCAATTGTTGAGGATCAGTGCTGACGAGGAAGTCGTCGGCACCCAAATGTTCTTTGGCCGGAGAGGTGCTGATGACAGTTACGTGGTGACCAAAGGCTTTCCCAAACTTCACCGCCACGTGTCCCAGACCCTTGAGCCCAACCACCCCGATCTTCTTCCCCGTTGGTTTGTGTAGGTTGTGGTCTTTCATGGGGGTGAACACCGTCACCTCCGCATACAATAGCGGTGCTGCTGCATCTAACGGCAGGTTCTCTAGTATGTGTACAACGTACCTTCATTGCAATACATGTTCACATTACTTAATTGTTAATCACATCACCAACTCTTTTTATCTATGTTAATTTATCAATGCGTTATAGTTAAACATATTTAATTTGCTCTGCTGAGCTGGCAACGCTAGAGACCAAATAATTAAGCACGCTGAACAAAATAAGGTAAAGGTTTAGGTTTGAGCTATATTTTCTATTATTGCGAATTAAGTTTAAAGATCATTTTAGTATTCAAGATAGTTTGCGCAAGTGAAGTTAAAAGATCACATGTGATAAAATTATTCACATGTGAGTTCTATCACACTTGACTAGTTGACCTGACTCAAAGTGGTTCGTAGGGTTTTCCTAATCACATGATCATGTAAATACATAATATGTACATATGATCAATCTACGGAAGATGTTTAACGGGGCCGCTAACTTGTTCTCTCTCTAAAATCGCAGGAGAGTCGAAGCGGTTTAAAAAGAAGGAAGATATGGATAAAGTTGGCGTGTATATATGTGCACAGATAGAGAGAGAGAGAGAGAGAGAGAGAGAGAGAGACAGAGAGAGATGTGGTCGACACCCAGTCGGCATTTATAGGCTTATAGCACCAGTGGTTTGTGGCTCTGGTCACACGCCAGATACTCCTCACACGTTTTGCTCGCTCTCTACGTGTAAGGCTTTCAAGCTCAATTATAATTAACCTAGAGAGAGAACGTCCCATGTTTTATTAATTCAGATCAGTCTCATCAGATAGAGAAAAGCCAAACCAATTATTATTTGCCAAATTCAAGCAAAACATATAACAATATGAATACTAGAGAGGTTAAATTTTTTAAATTAAATTAATAAATCAAATAATGATGTGCTTATAAATAATTACATTATAATTTAAGTATCGATTAACAAGTTTGTTTTTTATTGATGAAACATTATTTAGTTTGTAAATTGATTTAAAATTTTAATCTTCCATAACATTTTCCTAACAGTTTGCAGCAGATAACTCGACTGCCAAATTTCATGCTGCTACTGCTCAGTTAGTTTCATTTCTAAATAAATATCTAGCTCCAAGTTCCTCATTTCATGATCATATGTACGCTATATAAATTAAAAAGATAAGATTAATTCTTCTTTTCCTTTATCAACTTCTTTATTTTTCTCTTATGTACCGTGCTCTAAATTTGCACTAAACATGAATTTGAAGATTTAACTTTTATAAAATAGCACTATTAGACCATCTTCAATGGTTGGGCTAAAAGTCAAATATTTGAGCCCGGAAAATTTAGCTTTTAGCCCAGAAACAATTTTTCTACTCCAACCGTTCTAACCTAAAATTTTAGCCTGGGATTATTAAAGAATGAACTTAGGCTATTTTTTTTTGTTAAATTAATTTTTTTTTTAAAATAAATATGTAGACTATCGTAAATTAATTTTATGAACATTTTAATCTAAAAAAATTTAAATTCCGATTAATATTGGTTGGAGTCCACTCCGATTTTTGGGCTAAATTTTGGGGGGAATTTGGCATTGGTTTAGCATTTAGCATTTAACCCAAATTTTCCCCTTGGGTTGGAGTGGGTTTGGGGGGGGTAATTTGACTTTTAGCCCACCATTGAAGTTGGTCTTAGTGAAAGATGAATTGATTTGGTTCAAAAAATCTCCTGATTGATTGTGTTTATACGTCATTGAGAATAGTCATAATTTATAAAGTTGGTGCAAAACACTATTTTTCTATTTGGTCGGGTTTAAATTTTCGACAAATTTTTTATCACATAAATGCATCATATCCTCCTATATGTACTTATTCATCTATCTCGCCAATGAATATCGTAAAAAATCGTTATTTATAGCACTATGAAGAAGGGAAAAAAACCTTTTGATAAATTATTTAAAATGGAATGATTAATGTAAAAATTGTCAAATGATTGATTAGTTACTATATATTACGTGTTTTATTTGAAGATTTAGAATCGTTGTGCCATAAAAGGAGGTAAGGATCGGTCATAAAAATGTTGCTGAGTGTCGCAAAAGTGTAGCCATGCAGAAATGTTCAAACAACAATCTATGATAAGCATGATCAAATGGATTTTTAGCACCACACGTACGTGACTAAATAAAGCAACAGGCATTTGATGGCTCAAAAGATAAACATTAGTCTTGTACTCAAATGGGCCATACCAATCAAGAAATTCCTCCCATGGTCCAACTGACTCATCTTCAACGTCCTTTTTTATGGATTGTCTGTCCTTCCATTTCTATATTCTTCTTATGTCTTTTTGTTTGTGTAGTCACGGTTAAACCACGTCAACATTTTATATTTCTATTACTTTTTGTTTTATTATTTTTATTAAAAAATTAATATAAAATATTAACGTAGTTTAACCGTGACTACACATCGCAAGAAAATATGAAAAGAGTATGAAAATGGAAGGGCAGACAATCCACCTCCCTTTAAAGACCCCCTCCTTTTTGTCACTCTAGTTATCAGTAGTGTATAACGAGGGGATTATGCGTCATGCGGCGAGTTATTTTCATTTTCTTTAGAGCTAAAATATTTTTAAACTAAACATTTTGGTTAAATATTTTCCCGTCTACTTATTAACGTATTTGTTTGCCGCTTTTATTTCATACATAAAATAGTGGGGATTGGTAGGTAAAAAGTAGACGAATAAAAGGATAAATGCCTTTAAAAATTTATACAGCAAGTCTCTTACTATTTTGTGCAAAACGTTAGACCGGCCAACAAAAGAAAAGATCAGTCACTTGTTCTTAATTAAATGTGTAATTAAAGAAAGAAATACAAGGAGAAGACTATTTAGTACTACTGTCTAGTAATATTCTTTTTCACTTGTAAGTGAGAGATCTTAGGTTGATTCTCGTTAAAGTCGAATTCAAACGACGTTATTACTAGCTGGCATTTTTTATCAGGCTAAACTCATTTTCTTCCTTTAGGTATAAATAATATCGTTTATTTAAAAAAATAATAATAATACAAGGAGAAGGTCAGAGGAATTACTCCAACATGTAATAATAATAATAATAATAATACAATGAGTCCTTGACCCAACCGTGACTCCGAGAGTTTCTCCACAACTTCTTGAGTCTTGACCCAACTTCTAAAACAAAAAAGACTCAACCAATTGACTAATTCAAAGAACATAAACTTGGCTTTGAATTTAACTCTCATATCCTATACTTCTAAACTTGGCTTATATAAAATAAAAAAAAATTCCGAACGCTTTATTGACTTGGGATAATAAAACCTAAGAAATAAAGTGATGATTAACTATACGAGGGAGCACAATAGGAAACAATAGTCGGAGTAGACCCCAACACTCAAAAGCTCTAAAGTTTGGAAGGCATTCGAGCATTAGCATCAGCAGCAGCAATGTCAATGACAAATCGGTACCTAACGTCGTTCTTTGCAACACGGTCCAATGCCTCATTGATTTTGTCCGGCGTTGTAAGTTCAATGTCGCACGTTATGTTGTGTTGCCCACATAAATTCATCATCTCCCTTGTCTCACTAATTCCTCCTATCACACTTCCCTTCACTGCTCTCTTTCCTGTGTTTACGTGCACATCAATTCATTAATTGCAGTGTCATTGTATGCATATATTCATTATTTTCTACAAAAATTGGAAATTAATAATCGTGTTTTGTTTAGTATGTACCAAATATAAGAGGAAATGAAGGCAATTCAAATGGCTGGTCCGGTGCACCCACAACCACCATAGTTCCATTCACTTTGAGCAGTTCTAAGATGGACCCAAGCGAGTGCTTAGCGGACACTGTATTTAATATGAAGTCGAGTGTCCTCTTCCCTTTCTGCAGTCATCATCATTAACTTTAATTAATCCTTAATTAATTTATTCTAAAAGTTTACATTGGGAAAAACAAAAAACAACACAGATTGACGTAAAACCTGCAGTTGTTGAGGATCAGTGCTGACGAGGAAGTCGTCGGCACCCAAATGCTCTTTAGCCTCTTTCTCTTTGGCTGGAGAGGTGCTGATGACAGTTACATGGTGACCAAAGGCTTTCCCAAACTTCACTGCTACGTGTCCCAGACCTCCGAGGCCAACCACTCCGATCTTCTTCCCCGTTGTTTTGTGGAGCTTGTGGTCTTTCATGGGGGTAAACACCGTCACCCCCGCGCACAAAAGCGGCGCTGTTGCATCCAACGGCAGATTCTCTGGTATGTGTACCACGTACCTTTATTGTAATACGTTCACATTACTGAATTGTTAATGACATCACCAACTCTTTGTATACATGTTAATTAATCAACGACTTATAGTTAAACAAATTTAATTTGATCTGCTCAGTTGGCGATGCTAGAGACCAAATTATTAAGCACGCTGAAAAAAATAAGGTTAAAGTTTAGGATTTGAGCTATTTTCCATCGGCAATTGCCAATTAGTTTAAGGGTTTATTCTGGTATTTAAGATGGTTTACGCAAATAAAATCAAAAGGCCACATATGATCATCCAGATAAAATTATTCACATGTTAAAGTCTCGTGTCGATGAGTTAAAGAAGTTTTGCATGAACTTATAACGATTCTCTGTTATGCTTTACCTACACCCCCAAAAACCTTATTGCAAAGTCAGATGCCCAGCTTTTCGATCTACAACTTTTGCAAAAACGACAACCAGGAAGCGCATCAAAGCTCTGACAGAGAGGATCGGGGTGTTTATTTCTATCTAACTTGGTGAAGCACACCCCAACTTTTGAAGGTAGTAGGTTCGGAAATAGAGATAAAAATAGACAAGATAATTAAACTTTGGTGATTAATATGCCTACCGAGTTTTTAAGAACATCAGTTAGTTACCTGTGATCTGCGACCAACATCTTGGAGTAGCCACCGTAGGTGATACTGCCGTCCCAGAAGATGCCGTTGTATGTAAACTGGAGCTGGTCGCAGTAGTTCTCTTGGGAGGATTTGCAGAACTCACACTTCAAACATGTCGCCGCCAAACACCCAACCCCGACTCTGTCTCCTTCCTTGAACTCCTTCACGTTGCTCCCAACTTTCGTTATCAGCCCTGTAATCTCATGCCTATATATAGTACCACCATATATACACGGAGTGTCACATTAACATGTCTATTAACGTTGATGTCGCAATAGTTCTCTTGAGAGAGATATGTATTATTAGTTACCCGGGAACTACGGGATACATGGTCATGCCCCAGTCATTCTTAGCAAAGTGGAGATCAGTGTGGCATATCCCACAGTACAGGACCTTTATAGGTCACATCGTTGATCCCATTTTCTCTGTATTTGTATAGCGTTTTGAAGATTAGTTGAACAACAATCGAATTAAAGAAGAAAATGAAGGTTATATAATTGTAATTATTATGCATATGTGTATATATGTACCTTCGTTTGAAGACGAAAGGAGTAACCTTGCCGGAGGGATCGTGAGCTGCCCACCCAGAAACTGTCTGTGTGTGATTTGGAGTCGTCTGAGCCATGACTAGCTATTAGAGTCAGATTGGCCTTTGGTCTTGGGATGCAGAAACTCACTCGGCACAACTCAATATATATAACAGTCCCACGCGACCCATGATCATGAGTCGCATGACTGGTAAATAATTCATCATTTGTGAATAACACAAAGTTCTAGGAAATGACACCCGCAGGTGCTATATCATTTCCTACTACGAGTTGACTTGACTCAACGGCTTCCCACCCTCTAAAAAGATTGACTATTAATATGCGGTTGGTGACAACAATATCATATAGTGCGAGCAACCTTACTTTTTTTTTATTGGTCCGGAGCAAACCTAACTTTTCAATGTGAATTGAGCTTATTTTTCACAACCATGACGTGTTTTGTTTTTTATATCATCGAAGATGCTTGTGTTTTATTTATTTATTTAGCATTCGTGTTTTTATTTAAAAAACGTAATTTTTGTTTAATTTTGTATGTGTTATGAAATTAACTATTTTAGAGAGAGTCGGGACATGATTGGTTAGAGAAGAGAGAAAATGAGAAGGGCTTGAGAAGTTCTTCTCATGCTTTATGTCTTTATTTATACTAATCATAATGAATTTTACTTGTTCTACAAATAATACAAATCATCAAGGAAATGATCTTCTAAATCCTGTAAAATACTTTATACTTATACAATCACATTTATTTTAGTATTTACAACAGGATAGAACTTTTTGTATTATTAATCTCTTGCAGCAGGCTTGGAGATCCCCGGAAGACACGAGTCCAAACGCCATGTTGAATGCGCGCTCTGACACTACACTACGTAGTTGCTAGCTGGGCAGGTGAATCTTCGTCAGGATATTAAATTGAATATTGAAAAGTTTATTGAGCTAGATTGTAAAATTATATATCAAAGCCCGTAACATTTGGTGGAATTTAGTATGTTAAAGCCCACATTTAGAAAAGTTTTGATGTCAAATAAGCCCAATAAATCCCAGATCAATGTTTCTTTATTTCTTTTTTCATTTATATTTTTTGTTTTTCTCTTGTCTGTGTATTTGTCGTTATTGACAAGCTGGACAGATTATAAATTTGAAAGAGAAACCAACTCCAATAATATAAATATTAATCAACATGATTAGACAGAAATTAAAATAAATTGCAATATTAGGGAACAAACCATTTATCCTTTTACCAAAAGGTACTGATGGATTTTCTTTTTGAATTTTTTTTTATTTCTATAAAAAACCAAGAAGAAGAAAAAGTGGTCTCCCAAATTTAAGTAGGTTAAGTATGAGTGTAAATAGAGAATTCATAGTTAATATATTTTCTTACATCATCAATGTAAATATATTGTTGTATAATTTTTTTTTTTTTTAAATTTTTCATAACCTAACCTAAAAAGAGAATAACTCACCACCTAACCTAAAAATATAGCTTACGAAAAAAAAAAAATGGATTTCCTCATCTTAAAAGGTTTAGGAGAAGTTGGCACAATCCAACTCAAATACCTCCGCTAATACCAAAATCACACAGCCGAGGTTAAAACAGTAATTGTAGACTCAGAAAGAAGGACGGATATAAAACGTAATAGAATAAACCGAAAGTGGGTCTTCAGTAATTGCGAGTGGTATCATAAGAAAACCTGTTAGATTTAGCTTTGTAGGCACCAGTTTCCTTCGAGTTCTGAGAGAGAGAGAAAGCAGAGAGGAGAGGGAGAGAGAGGGAGGAGCACGGCGGAGAGTCACGTCGTTGGTTCTGAGTGTCGACGGTTGTTTGTGCTTTGCACGTGCAAGATCCGTTTTAGTCTATCGAAATCCTGCATTCCGCAATTTCTAATTTCTTGAACCCAAAAACAATTCCTAAATCCTCTCTTTTGAGTCTTTGCCAATCATCTTTTGTGAACTGATTAATTAATCAATTGTTTTTGTTTTGTTGTCTGATTAATTTATTGATTCCTTGTAAACTGATTAGTTTATATCCGTGCTTATAAATTGATCAGAGTTTTGTTTTTACTGCTGCAAACCCTAATTTGGAATGGCCATGGCTGCCGATTCTTCTGTCAATCACCACTCTCCGCGTGGCCCTGAATTTTCCACCGATGGTGGCGGCGGCGTTGTCGATAAGAGAAGTAGTTTACCCTCTCCATGGGCGAAAGTTGTCCGAGGAGGTGAACTAGAGGCCGTCCAATCTCCGCCGTCCTTATCCTCATCGTTGTCCTCATTGGGCAACTTGGCAGTGGAGCAAACCCCTTTTTCAGATGGGTCCCAATCCTCCAAAGCTGCTCGTTCTTCGCCGCCTCCGCATACGCCGGATGGTTTTTCAGCTGCTGACAGCCCCAATGGCCATAACAGCAATGCCGGTCGGCCAAAGAAGCCGGCTTGGAACAAGCCCTCCAACAGCGTAGTTGAGGTTAGTCCTGTAACAGTAATGGATGCTTCTTCTTGGCCTGCTTTATCCGAGTCGGCTAGGGCTTCACCTAAATTACCAGTTGATCCCTCTCCAAAGACTGTCTCCGAAACAATTGTCAACCAAGAATCAGTTCCTGTTTCCCAGGTTTGTTCACTATCACCTTCGTTTTTCCTTTTTTTTATTTGTTTTGCTGCAGAAAAATATTAAGAAAAGGGAAAGAATGAATTGTTTAAAATTTGGATAACCATTAATCAATTACTTACCTAATTAATCCAAACAGTTGTGCGGATTTTTGTTTCGTCAGGTGCCAAATTGACGAAATAACTTTAGATTCAGAAAGCTACTAACACATTATCCTGCATTTTCTCTCAAACCAGTGTAAAAGTTATCATATTTTCCTGAGTGGGAGATTATTCTAACTTTTTAAGAACTGATAGTCATTCTCTATGCACGATTGATCTTGTGTGTGGTTGATAGGGACCTGTTATAGCACATTCACCCAACTCCAAAAGACATCCTGCTAATAGTGCAAATCAGAATTCCACATCAAATCATGCACCAGCTCGGCAAAGATCAATTAAGCGTGGTGGCAGTGGCAACAATGGGGGTGGGCATGCACATAGTGGTTTCGGACACCCTGTCACCCCGCCACCACCACCACCATTCCCTGTTTTCCCTATTCTACCTAATGGGTATGGCAATCTGGTACCAGCAATACCAGATCCTTCTCCACGAGATCCTTCATTCCGGGGCAGCAATTGGGATGCTAGACCAGTTGGTGGCTTTGTGCCGCAACCACACCCAGTAAATGACCATCGGAATTCTCGTAGGGGAAATTTTGGACCGCGCCCACGTGGAGATGGTCACTACCACAATAATCACGGAGGCAAACGTGACCAGGATCGTGGAAACTATATGCATCCCAGGGATGTTCACATGCATCAGCATAGAGCCCCTCCAATGGGCCTTGTAAGGCCATTACCACCAAATAATGCTGCATTCCCGCCCCAGCCTGCAAGACCCTTTGCAAGCCCCATGGGTTTTCCTGGTGAGTATACTATTTTAATACAGTTTTTTTTTATTTTTTATTTTTTATATGTTTGGAAGTATAACTTATGTCTCTGTTCTTTCCAGAGTTTGTGTATATCCCTACATTGCCTTTGGAGCCCATTCGAGGCATGCCACCGTTCATTTCTCAACCACCACATCCTGCAATGTTTTATCCTGTTGCAGAATCTCCTCTACCTTCATTGATAATCAACCAAATAGATTATTACTTCAGGTACATTAATTCCCATGCTTCATTGATTCACAATTTGTAAGCTGTATGAACTAATTCCTCAGTATCTTGAGAATTAACTTCCCAAGTTGTTTTCTTTGTTACTACAGTGATGCTAATTTAATAAAAGATGACTTTCTACGGTCCAACATGGATGCTCAGGGTTGGATTCCTATATCTCTAATAGCAAGCTTTCCTCGGGTATGTTATATATGTTGTTCTTTATGTTTTTTATTTTTGGTAACTTGGGTATGTTATTTATGATTGATTAAGCACATTTTACTCTCTTTGGGACATATATTATCGCTATAGTTCTCTATGTATAACATGATGAAACATCTAAATTTTCAAAAGACGTTTTAGTCTATAAAGTTAAAAACTGACTTCTCATTGAGCGACAATGATTAATTGTTTGTAATATGTTCATGATATGTTACACATGATTTCGGAATAAAAGCTTCACCAAGTTAGGTATTATAACAAACATTACACAAGTTGCATAACATTTATAGTTCTCTCTTAAGGTGCTTGAATGGCAAAATGTTTTTCCTTAATCTAAAGTCTCAACCTTTAGCTTTTCTGTTCATTGCCTTCCATCTTGTGAAGTTTACATTCAGATGATTCTCTGCCTGAATCCATGCCATTATAAATTTGTATGACAGGAATAAATTAGGATTATTTGTTTTCATGGTATTTTTGTTCCCGTGAAGATTTGATATTTGCTAGGAAATGATTTTATTGAATGGAGAGAATCCTGTAGGCGGAGAACACGGTGATTGGTACTTTCTAAATGAATGGGGAATATGTAGAAACAAAAAATAACTGAAAACACACAGAAAATTAGAGCCTATGCGACTTTTAGTTTGAAACCCCCAGGAGCATACGTATCTCCATTGAGCTTATTTATTCGATGCTAATGCTTTCCTTGTCATCTTTGGCTACTTCAGTCAACTTTTGTTTCTTAAAAAAAGTTATCCTTGTCCCTTTTAAGTATCATTCATCCTCACTCGATGTTTTATTATTGTAGGTCAAGAGTTTGACAACCAATATCCAATTAATACTCGATTCCTTAAGAGCTTCCAGTATTGTTGAAGTACAGGTGAATTCCTTTTATATTTGCTGTTTTATTAAACATGCATTGCATTTTTAAAAACATATCCCACTGAAGAAAACTGATATATGTTTAGATTGTGAAATGAGTTATCTTCTGCCTTGTTGCTAAAAGGAAAAGATGACCTTTTGGCTCATTATAATGCCGACCAAATGAAACGACTTACATTAGGAACCAGTATTTTTTTGTAAGGAAACTATGACAATTGTGCTGCCAGTTTGTTGTTTTGGTCTAACACTTATGATTGTGGCAGGATGATAAGGTGAGGAGGCGTAATGAATGGACCAAATGGATATCAACTGCTGGTCAGCTTCCAGCTGAGTCAGGTTCACCATCCACACTATCCTCCAGTGTATTAAGTGATAACACACTTGCAAATTCTTTTGGAAAGATGACTGTGGAAGTACCTAGCCAAAATAGTATGGCATGTAAGCCAGATCCAAACTCTGTGGCTATTCCAGAGAGTTGTTCAACCGAGTCAACTAGCCAATCACAACTTCCTAATGGGGATGTTACTCAAACCGATCATTGAAGTCGAAGTAGATGTTTATCACTAAAAGGATTCAAGCAAAATCACGGAGACAAAGTGCACTTGCAATTTTGAAGGGTTTGCTAAGGTAATGGGGGAAGGGAGGTAGCTGTATAGCCTGTACCGAGGGCATGCAAATTCTTTTCTTTATAAATCTGTTACTTTGCTTAGTTTTGGCATGTTTTTGAGGCTAGTACAGGAAACAAATAAGAAAATAATGATAAATTATTCTTCGATTGAGAAGAAGAAAGAGAAGAAGATGAAGAGAATCGAGCAAAGGAGAATCTGGAGGTCATTGGTTTGTATAGTTTGGATTTGGTGTGAATGTTTGTGGGTTTATTTTTTGGCACGTCAAGAAAAGAGCTTAGTTTGAGATGTTATGTTTCTCGCTAAGAGCTTAGTTTGAGCTGCAGTGCACTCTGTGTTTGTTTTCCACCAAAGGATGGTTAGACCTTTTGCTTGAATTTTCACAATTTTGTACTCCACTTTATGTAACTTTTGCCCATCTTTATTTCTTTTCTTCTCCTTTTAAGTTTATTTCTTGTCAGATAAGTATGTTTCAGATTCTATCATATATGCACTTGAGTATTCATAATCATATATGTTGTTTCAGGTCCTTTTTCAAGATTTCTCAAATCATAAATGTGAGATACAAATGTTGGGTAATGAAAATTGACTTTTTCCTAGAGAGCAACTTTCATGGAAGTTTCATCGTCATATGGCGTCCTAATCGAATAATGCAATTTCACATAAAGAGAAACTTGCACATGACATTGCGTTTTAGGACCGTGAAACCACAGTAGTGGTGAAACACTTCCATTTAAGTCCTTCCTCAGTTCCTGGTTAGGGATCCATGTCGCGTTCTCATTACTGGTTAAACTTTTGGGATCCTTTTCCTTTTTAATTTTTTAAACACACCATGAACTTGAAGGCTGAGGCTTTCTAACACATCTGGATCCAATTGCATTCAAAATCTATGCATTTGTATATCATGGTTTGCAATTGTGCATAAACATTTGGTACCTGACTGGCACCAACATTACTATCTCGATTCGAGGAGCGTTGTATGTTATTTAAAGACTGAAAACCCTCCTCAGTCCTCAACTCAAAAGAAGCAGATGAATGGAAAATTAACGAAATATCGATGTCATATAACAATAGCATATCGATACTAGAAAAAGATTATTTAAGTCAGAAGTATTTTCGTCAAGGAGGGCTAGTGATAATTAGATTTTAAAAGGAGGACTGTTTTGGATTGTAATTCAAGCCAATTTCCATAGAAAAAGTACGTGATGATTCTTTTTGGAGTCACGACAACAACTTCCATGTATAAAAGTTCTCCCCACGAAAGAAAAGTGGGCCAACATGCCATTGAAGTTAGCCGTCAAATAGAAGACACTGAGAGAGAGAGAGAGAGAGAGAGAGAGAGAGAGCTTTGTTGAAGTATTCTACCTTCCTCCTCTGCATATAAAGGTATCCTTCCACTGCCCTAAATTTTCCGGCTTCATCCATCGTCACCCCACGAGTGATTCTATAAAACATGATTTCCACAACCACAAGTAGCTGTAGCACAAAGTCCATGGAAGATGTTTGGAAAGACATCAGCCTGGCGTCTCTTTCTCGAAACGCCAGCGACAACACCACCACCTCCACTCACCACCCCACTGCCGCTGCTTTTCGGGGCATCATGTTTCAAGATTTCTTGGCTTCTACTAGTACTACTTCCTCCAACATCGACCCACCACCACCCGCTGCCGCTACTACTGTTCTGCGCTTGAATTGTGGGACTCGATCTGATCTTCAACAGCATTTACTTGAAACCACTAGTACTACTATCACTGGTCCTCCTCTATTGAAACCAAATTCAATTACTGGTCCTACTAGTACCAGTGTTACTACTACTACTAGGCCTAATTCTTTGAATAATCCCTCTTCAGTCTTCCCTTCTTGCTGCAAGAAAAGGGCTCTAGATGATCATGATCAAAATCGCGAGGATCATCACAACTCCACTAATGGCGGCCGCCATAAGCGCATGATGAAGAATCGAGAGTCCGCTGCTCGCTCCAGAGCCCGAAAGCAGGAACCTTTCTGTCCATCTATTTCATTACTGATCGTGTGCTCTTACACTACTACTTTTGTTTTGTTTGGTTCGTGAATATGTAGCATACTTTTGGAATTTGGATGCAGGCTTATATAAATGAGTTGGAGCTTGAAATTGCACGGCTGCGGGAGGAGAATGCCAGGCTCAAGAGACGGCTGCAAGCAAAGACGAAGATCAATTCAGTATGTTTTAGCTTTCCTTTTAGCGTAGATTATCACTCGTATATATAAAAAATAAATAAATAAACAGACTGATTGGTTTTTCTGTGATTGCCGTCCTACTTGGCTGCCCCTACCCTTGCTCAGCAGCTGCTTCCAAAAAGGCAAACCCTGTTCAGAACTTCAACAGCTCCATTTTGATCAGTTAAGGCAACCTCAAACTGCATGAAACAACCATCCCTTCCCTCCTATATGTAAAATGTTATACTTTTCTTTTCTCTTTCATTGGCCTCCACCTTAACCTTATCCTTATCGGAAGAAATTAAAATAGTGCTATTGAAAATGCGAATCCAATGTCGGAAGTTAAGGACTTTGCATGTAAGTTAGACTACTACTTCATATTACTAATTGATTTTACAGTGAAACCTTAACTTCCTAGACGTTTCAATAAGCTCAACTTCTCATATGTTATTATTTTCTTTATCGCCTTGTGTTTGTAGCATTATTCTTGTGCGATCGAGGGAGAGGGAGGAGTGGGTAGGGAACAGGTAAAATGCATGCTTCCAAACGAAAGCCATTTGCCAAACATTGGTTAATCTATAAAAAGGATGGTCGCCCTTTAACGTTAATACTAGATGGGACATGTTTGGCTAATAATTAATGTCATCGTATTTCCTAACCTTATCTCTCTCTTTCTCTCTCTCTCTCTCTCTCAAACTTATTCTGTCTTCTTCAACTGAAATATTTTTCTAGTTTCTATGGCAACTTTTGGAGTTTTGCTCGGTATTTTTATGTATGTCCTGCAAAATCCATGCATCGCACTAAATCAATGGTTTTACAGGTTACATTAGACACTTAAAACGGTATATAGAATTTCATATTTATACAAATTATATGATGTAAATAACGGTAAACTTTTGAAATGGTGTTACACAACTCAATATTGAGTCATATAACAATATTTTTGAGCGTTCATATACTGTAAAACACCCCACATTTGTTACATTATGAAATGTCTATGTACTATGTGTTATTAAATAGATCAACGGACATAGCTTGTAGCTAGCTAGTGCATTTGTTACATTATTATCATTCTTTTACAATGCATGCTTAATCAAATTACGTCATAGTTAGGTATCAAATTAATCATAAATATATATTGTTATTGTCATTCATGACCATGAGAATTGAAAAACCTCTTTATGAAGACAAATATAACTAATCAAAGACTCATTGTTCGCTTGTTATATTAGTTTACTTGTGATGTAAATTAATATATCGTGACATAAAATAACGTAAATATAGTACGCTTATCCATTATCATCTCAAGAAAATTGTTAATATAATAAAATCACCAAGTTGGTTCAATTATAAAACAATTTTTGTTTGCTTCATTGACAGTTCACACTCACACTTCACTAACATGTAATTATAATATTCTCTGTAATCAACTCTCTGGACTGAAGGGTTGTGGGAATACAATTTTTAAGTTTGATGTGGTAGAGGGATCAGGGCGATGCAGGTCAATTTGGTGAAATGCTTTTGCAAATTGCAATTACTTAATTATTGATGAAGAGATAAGCATACCACTCTTGCCAAATTGCAATTAATTAATTATCAAACGCAATATCCCTAATTATAAAAGCACAGAGAACGGTCTGGACTCTGGTGGTTTGATTTTTCACTTTTTGAAAAAATTATGGATAAGGGTGGAAGAAATGATGTGTTTTACTTTTAATTTTTGAAGTATGTTAATAAAAAATTAAATTCACCTCTTATATTTTTGAGCTGAACCAAATGGTGATTTGCTGCCTGGGTCGATGTCAGAGTTCATGTACGGCAATCGTGACCTGTGGGGATTGCATCATCACAAAGTCCATGGACCAGGCCCATTTGGATTAGATGGATCGCTTTTCAGCGCACAATGAGGGTTTTGGACTCTATAGTTTTCAATTTGGGCCGACTCCCTACGCAAGGTAGTGGCCCGCCCAGTTGCGGTAGTCGAGCCGTTTTTCTTCTTGCTTTACCCTGAAATAAAGCAAAAATTACCCATAACTAAATTGTCATCAAAATTCAAAACCCCAAAAAAGTCAGTTCAATGTTCACCCAAAAAAAAAAAAGTCAGCTCAAAATTTCTGCCTCTATTTTATGTATGATTTCTATTATTGATTGACACGTATTAAATTTGTTTCATGTTCTGCTACACGAAAGAAACGGTGGGCTTCCATGGTGAAGCCAAGCCAATCCAAACTTGCTAAAACCTACCCGTAATGTAATCACTATTAAACTAAACGTCATAATTCATCTCTTTCACTTTTCTCTTAAGTATTGAGTTTGACGTGGTTTTTTCCAAATGCGATGTTATCAAAGGCTTACATGTGAAAATGCTGTTCTGTAAGTTGTGCTCTACTACGCTAAAATTTAGTCTCCTTGGTTTAAAAATTTCTCTTTGTTATACGTGTTTATAAATATAATTACTGTATTTGTATTTAATGTGCATACATGGAAGACCCAATTTTTTTAGAAAATTAGAAGAGAAAATCATTATAAATTTGGATCGCAACAGTAAGTTTGTGGCAGCTGCAAGTTCCGGACAAAGTTACTAATCACATTCTTTCCTTTCTTGCTATTAAGTTATAACAGACCTCACTCGTTTCGGCTGTGTGTCCAAAGGCTAAACCTAATTGGGTTTTTTAATGGGAGTTTAAATAAAACACTCCCGGTACTGTTCACTTTTAACAAAAAACCACATTTATAACTTTTTCTGATACTATTCACCATACCTTTAAAAATGACTTTTCGTTAGTTTTCCTTTTATTAATTGGATTGGATAAATTAAAATTTTATTGGCATTATTTTCTGTTTGAAATTTACAGTCGAATTGATTTGGTTTTTGATTGTTGCCCTTCCTGCAGTGTTGTAGGTAATTTAGTTTGCAAAGTATATCCTTGGGCATGCTTGCTCTTAAGGAGACCGCACGCAAACGAGGAACTGTTAGAAAGTGAATAGAATAAAGTTTTTGTCAGATGTAGGATCATCAAGGTTGTTTTCCATTAAAATTGCGTTAATGGAATTCTTGCTAAGATTTAAGCAAGTTAATTGCACACTATTACGAGAAAACTAACCCTTATGGAGGGATTCCATCCACTAATGCAAAATTTAAGGCTAACTAATGTGGCTCATCATTATTTAGCTATTGCGTTTGCTTTTCTGATTGTTGGTCAAACGTATAGAACTAATTTGGAGATTAGGCACAACATAAAAAAATATTTTAGAAACTCATATTCCTCAGGAGCCATTGGGGGTGCGGAGAGAAGAAGGTAAGTTGATGATGAATTGTGTGTGTATACAAGAACGAAAGCGATTTCCATTAAAATTGATACCACAAAGGCGTTGGAGTTGAGCACAAAGTGCCGCACTGAGACGCAACTTCGTATCTTGGCTGCTGCAAAATCCTTAATAATACCACTTGAAGTGGAACACTTAACGCCATTTTGCCTTATCTTTGGGCCCTTGGCTTCATAATTATGCACTTATGCTGGAAGTGGTTTCATTACAAACACTTGAACGTACTTCATGATTAAGTATCTATCCACGTGCTTCTTCAATAAACACTTCTATAAGATTATAACTTAGAAATACATTTTCATTTTTAAAAGAAAATTTTAAACATGCCTCTCTTTTTGGAAACATTTTATTATTATTATTATTATTATTATTATTATTTGTTGATGCACAAAATCGGCGAGGACTTTGGTACAACAGAAAGTGTCAAGTTTGTGACCTTCGCTAGATTGCTCTGGGCATTAGTGTGGATAAGTATGTAAATGAATAGAGATAGGGAAGCAAACAACACAAGATGTACGTGGTTCACCCAGATTGACTACGTCCACGGAGTAGAGGAGTTCTTATTAGTTGTGAAGGGTTTACACAAATACATAGGTTCAAGCTCTCTTTTAGTGAGTTCTAGTGAATAGTTTAGTACAAATGACATTAGAGATTATTGTGGGAGAATGATCCCCTTTTATAAAAGAAAGTTTCTAACTTTGTTCTGACATTGACACGTGTCGTGTTGTGATTGGCCTCTGATATCTACACGTGTTGCGCTATGATTAGCCTCTGATACCGACACGCGTCGCGTTGTGATTGGCCTCCTGGTTGAAGGAAAAATCTTGTGTGTCATTGACGGTATACTGTTGACCGGTGCTCAGTAGTTTCGGGATTGATTAAGTATGGTACAAACATTATTATTATTATTAGCATGTAATTCTTAATCTAAGAAGAGTACAAATTTTGAGGTTCATGGAGTTAAAAAATAAAGAAGAAAATAAAAGAAAGAATAGCTAGAACGATGGGAGTTCTACTAGTATAATTAGAGAAACAAAAAAAAAATGGAAAATTGGAAATAGTAGTGGGAGTACGTAGTGGAGCACTATTGAGTATATGAAGCATCGAGTATGTGACAAGTTTTGATGAGATCGAGAGTAATCACTGACAAGCTTTGAGGAAGGCTGCAGTTATTCTGTAAATATAACTCATAAAGGTGGGAATGGGGTTTTCTCTAAATAACCAGTAATCATTTCGATTGCAGATTGATGTCAATGCTCAAACATGTAAATATAGCATAAAGTATAGACCACAACCACTATACATGCTTATCTCGCACGCACCACAAACGTGCATTCAAACCACCTTCCTAATTTTGTTTGTATTTTCAATTTTGAGAGAGAAGGATTTATATGCATCCTATCAATATTACTTTCGCGTTTTAGGTCAGTAGTATAATATAATGTATAAGTTTATTTTCACATGATATTCTGTTATTTATTTTGAGATATTTTAAGTCATTATTGAAATTTTAGAGATAGTCTAGTGTGTTACTACTAATCACACCGATACTATCTCAACTTAATCACTTACATAGATCGACATTACAAAAAGCATCAATATAGTTGGCAGTAAAACCATCCAATTTAAAGGGGATTTAATCGTAAGGTTTGTAACAGGGGCATTTGCTTCAACCTTCTTGCTTGTATAGTCAAAGTAATCACGGATTAAAGGTGGTATAGTTAATGAGGCTGTCAACCAATGACTCGAAAGGCACATGGAAAGAGTCCATAGCTAAATAGAGCACTCAAATCAGTTCAAAACGCACTTTTCCATTTAAGAATACTTTAGCCTTGCACCCCACAAAATATCATTACAAAAGTGTGACCGTGTGTGAGTCAGCGCACAGATTCTGGATTAAGCAAGTCCACTGATAAATCTGATACAAATATTCGACCAAAAAAAGATAATATATGCCAAATTTCTTCAATCCTACTATGCAAGAAATTAGCCTTACCATTCAACGGGCATGTGCATATATAATTGGATCATTGTTCAGTTGAGTTGTTTACACATAACCTGTTACCAAAATTTATGC